TTGGACTTTTTTGGCTTTTATTGGATTTATTACTTTTAAAAATAGTTTCCTGTTTAGTTGATATTATCTAAATATAAGGTGAACACTAATATGCATCAGTCTGAATATACTACTTTAAGTTTACTACTAGTGTTTCTAATGGATTGTTCCTTTGTTGGTATCAATCTTTTGTTAGATATGTGGATTTGCATTTATTTTCTCTGAGGCTGAGTGGTACCTTTTACTGCCTTTCACAAAACAAGACTTTCTGATTCTGATATGCCTGAATAATTAAGAGACTACTGTAATTATGAAGGAAGTACCACAATCTGAGTACTTTTTATTATAAAATTATCAAAGTTATCAATGTAGGGATTACCAAATTGATGGTTGCATATTTTAGAATAGAAATTTAGCTTAAAAGTATAGGAAAACCTATACTATTGACAAATATTTAGTATTTATTTGTCTGGTATTTTCTGTGGCACAGACATTATTATATATGGCAATTATTTCTCTTATTACTACCTCACAAAGTTGAAGTGAGGTATAGCCAGGTAGACAAAATGGAAGGGGTGCAACTTTTACTTGCATTCATTTCAGAGAAAAAAACAGAATAGAGCAAGAGGAGTAGAGAGCTCTTCTTAGTGCATGTGTATATTTACTAACAAAATCCAAATTTTCACAAGAGGGGTAAGATAATTCTTGAGTCGGCCTAATGGTAAAAAGAAAAAAGAAAAAAGGTAAATCCATTTTAATTACCCATAGGAAAACTATGTTCCTTTGGAGTTAAAAGTTCAATATTTGAATAACATTGTGTTTCAGGAATAATCTTGTTTCTTCTGGTGAAATCTAAAAGGGTCTCCATTTTCAAGTACCCAGAAAATTGTAATCATCCTATAGATATTATTTTGTAGTATTTCTCCATTTTGTGTGTATTTTCAGTGATTAATTTCTACAAATTTTACAATCTCAGAAGCAGAGGTTTATTCTGTTTCCTAAAAGTACACTACAGAGAATAGTTAGATTTCTATGTGCCTTATTAATCACATTTAGAGGTCTTGAGGTCAATCATTTGTGTATATAATATATATTATTATCTTTCCTTTCCCATCTACATCTTTCTTGTTTCCCTGCCTGTAAAATTTCATTATGAGTCACTTCCCATCATAATAGAAGATTAAGATAAACTCATGCCTTTTACAGCAACATGGATGGAGCTGAAAGTGATCATGCTTAGTGAAATAAGACAGAAAAAAAAAAGGAAAGAAAGAACAATACTGGATGGTTTCAATCATGGCAGGAGTGTAAGGGATGGGGGGAATAAAAGCAATTGTAATAAAGTAAAAATGAAAAAACAATGAACAACTATAAACCAGAGATATTCTACAGGGGTGGGAAGGGGGATAGGCTCAAACTGGGGCACGAAGAGCATATGGGACTATGGTAATAGCACATGGGTGAATTGGTGGTAGGAAGTTCATGGGGATTACAACTGAGATGAAAAAAAAATGCACAAAATGAAGAAAGCTGTTAAATTATTTATTTATGTATTTATTATTTAGGTAATTAAAAAGTCATCATTGAGAGGACTTTACGGAGGTCTTTGGCATAATGATGGCTAAATAAAGACATTGGTCTTTCCTCCACATACTGGGAAACAAATGACACCTAAACAAAGGAAAGGGCATTGAATGATAGGGGACATATTTGGCATAAATTAAGACTATTAGAACTGAAACAAATGGATTATTCTACATTTTTACTGTAATAGGAAAGATAACTGAAAGGGTAGCTTTTTTTTCTTTAAATGTTGTTTAATTTAAATTATGTCATTTCTTCCCTTGACATACCTACTTTATTATTAAATCCAACAGGGTTCCCCTTTCAATAAACAAATTCACATGCATTTAAGAATAAACATAGTCTTTGCAGAAACGATTCTACATCGCTATCTGTATATTCTTCAGATAGGTCCTCTAGTCGTTTTGATTTTTTTTAATAACAGTCACCCTCTCTGAGGATCTTCTAATACAGAAATAATTATATTGCTTTGTATAAGTTTCAGAAAAGTTTTATATACTTTATTTGATATTTTTCATGATGACTTAGCATTCTAAAGTTAATGAGAAGTTTCACTTTCACCAAAACTGTTAGTGTACTGTGCAGTGGTTCATCTTTTGCAACAGCACAATAGAGATCTAATTCAGAAATCATTCCAGTATTGCATACCATATAAATATTGAGTGTAAAAATGAATTGCACTCTTGTTTGTCTTTGAGAATAGTAAAATAAAAAAATGTGTTATGTTAAAAACATTTAATAAAACATAAAAATGTACTTCTAAATTTTCATTACTATAAATTTAACACATTTTACCAATTTCTTTAATATAGGGTTGTTAATATATATCTATTATAAATAAACATATTTAACATTCAGAGGTAAAGTTAATATATTTAATGACTGAAAATACAGAGAGAAGGAAAAGTGATATATCAAATGTTTATATTGGTTACTGTAAGAAATTTAATTTTTTCCTGTGAATCTGAAAACTATAATCCCAAACTATTCAATCTTAATGTTGATATAAAACTCTTATTCATAACAAGTAGACCTTTTGTGTCACAGCCCTTTCTCTTTATTGGCAGAGTAGCTGGTTTTAAGTGGTATGTTAAATTTTTCTTTGATAAGGATAATTTGATTTTACAATGCGGCACTCCCTGAACACAACTCAACATAGTCATACTAGAATTAAATTACCCATTCATTCATTTATTCAAATTTATAAATTTTCTACTCTGATTAGGCATCATGCTAGGCAGTGAAGGTGAAAAGGTCACTAAAGCTACTTCCCTCTACAGAATCACAGTCCAGAAACAAAGATGCTGAGTAGTAGATTCCAGTAACTGTAAACCAACCTCAGTAACTCCCCTGCATGGCTTTATTGAACCTAACACAGGACTAGAATCTGCAGACCGTTAGGCAGAAAGAAAGTTGTGAAATTGTGGGTTAATTTGGAGTTAGGTGAATTGATTATTAATACACTCTCACTTTTCACAAAGGGATAGAGCAAATTTAAGTAAATACATTTCCCAAGAAAAGCCAGACAATAATATTGATTTGAAAAATTAAAGGTGAAGGAACATAAGTGATAAGGCTCTTGAAGTCACACATCTAACTCTTCAAATCAAAATGATAAATATGATCAGTTATACTTTTTATATTTTCCACATAAAGCTATTTCTGGCACTGATCCCTGGGGGGAAAAAAAAAGTGCCACATGGGTCTTTGTATAGAGAGGTCACTGTGTGATGTCATATTTTCAGACACTTTGTCCCGAGAAGTAAAGAGTGTGTTTCCTCTGGCTGTTTCGTATAGCATTCTTCACTTAAACCAAGGGCACAGTGCCATATCTCAGCTCCATAAGAAATTCAGAGAGGGACAAAACCCCAGTAATCTAAAATGTACATTGGGTTCTGTGATTGTTGGTTTTGGTTGAGAGACAAGTTTAAAATATTTACTAAGATTAGTAACTTTTCTTAAAAAGAGTCCTTCACAAATGTATTTCTTAATTCAGCAACAGAAATAAAGACATCCTTCCTGGCTGATGAAAGATAGAATTTGGTGCTTTAGCTAGTAAATTAATATAAAATTGACCACTTCTGAAATTAACTGGTCTAAATCAGGATTTATTTATTCTAGAAAATTTGTGTGAAGTTGGCTGAGGAAGTACCTGAAGAAACACCAAACTTAGTCTAGTGAAAAATGGATTGAATCCTGAAAATATACCATAAGATATGGTAGCATATCATGCAGCTTTATTTGATTATTTCCCCACAATTGATGACAATCACCCATAAAGGATATGTAAAAACTTGATCCCTGTGCTGTATAATTTAATATTTTGTGATACTTCTGTGAACTTTCCAGATTAGCAACACATACCATTAAGTTAGTAAGTAGTTAGTTTATTGTTCAGACTTGTTGAGTTAGTACTACTTGATTAAAACTATTCTAATATTCTAATATATTAATTGCATTTCCTGGTCTGGGATCACCTACAACTGCAAATGTTTTGTTTATGCTTAATATTCTCTCCATCTATTCATTCCCTTCTTCATTTACCCTCTTTTACACCTTATCTTATTATTATTTTTCTAAGTAAAGGGATTTTTTGTTTGTTTTTGTGATTTGTTCATTTTATCCTCAGAGAGAGAGATCACAAAGCAATTTATTGTATTGTTTGCCTGTGCATGTTTCTACCTGTGTTTTTCCACAAAATGTTGACCATAGGCCACCTTTGAATAATGAGGATCATGAACATGCTGAATATGCCAATAAATTAAGTAGACATGCATTAAGCACCCTTGCCATCAAAATACCTAAGACCTTTGAATATGTGAGTACAACACCAGAGAGTCTCAAACCCCTATATCAGTTCAATGTGTGGCTGATTATTTTCTCTCCCCATCCCACTTCTTAAATGAAACCAACTCAATCCTGTGCTTCAGTACAATTACTGAATGTTGAAATTATTCTAACTTTGGATTTACTTGAAAAGAACTGAATCTAACAACTCTTTTCTAATCTATAACTGTCTAAAGTAAATTTTACTGAAAAGCTGAGACGGAATTATAAATGTCATGTATGAAGTTAATATACTAAATTAATTTAGAAACAAAATTTTTTTTAAGATTTCTGTAATGGCTCCTCATTAACTATGAACTCATATAGATTGTTAAAACTATACTGGTTATAATTTTCTTTATTTGTAAAATGGAAGTCATTCCTCTCAATGTGAGAGATTGTTGTGATAATCAATCGAAATAACAGTTAAGTGCCTATAAAAGTTTATTGTTTCACAGATAAAGTAATAGATATATATTTACCAATTATACAGACATGTTTTAAGACAAAAATCTGAACTTGCAGTTGATTCCCGTCCTCAAAACCATGCTAGGTAAATATTACATTTTAAGTGACTATCTTTATGTTTAAGTTGTATAATTTAATTACAGGTCTATCGATAGACTATGTGGAAAACAAGCTTTATTGGATCAGTTCAGGAAATGGAACTATAAATAGATGCAACCTGGATGGCGGTAATTTAGAAGTAATAGAGTCAATGAAAGAAGAATTAACAAAAGCTACAGCCCTAACCATCATGGGTAAGTGGAATGGTTCTCTAGCTAGGATACTTCATATTGATTGGAGGATGATTAATGATGACCTGTTAAAAGCTTAGAGAAGTTACTGCTCCATTAACACCAAAAGCACATTCAAATTGCACATCTCTATGAGTTTTTCTTTTCTCTTTGTCCACTTTAGCAAACCGACTTTTAAGATTTTCCAGATCAAGGACGTAGTGCTGCTAGCAATACTAACTTTGCTGTTATTGATTCAGGCTTACTGTGACTTGTATTATTTTATGATTATTTTATGTGGTCTACTGCAGTATTCTAAAATATAAGGGCTGTGTGCATTTGTAGCAATAAAGTAAAATCAGACTTCACTCTACTTTTAAGAATAAGTTGATTCACATAGATAATTCAAGAGACAAGGCCACATGGCCAACTGATTGACCAATGATTGAAATTATTCCACCACAAACAATTATTTCCATATTTAGGCATGAACAGATATTTTACTGACATGATGCTCATATTTATTTTGTTCATTTTTTAGGAAGAAAAAAAATGTTAAGTGAGACAATTAGGAAGATAGGCAGTCATGGCTTTCTGTAGAAAAAATAACCTGCATTGTATTGATATTAGAAACTAATGTTTAAGTGAATTTTAAATTAAAAAGATAGTTTGAGCTTTAAAAATGATATGAGTGAATTAAAAAAAAAAAAAACTATTTTCATGTAGGATGCCCATTCCTTTACTTGGTAAGTGACTGGCTCTAAAGTAAAGTTCACAGTAGGTTAGCAGTATGAAAATTAGAAATTGCACATAGAATCTGAGTAGCAATATGTGTTTACAATAAATTAGGAAACTAATTTTAAATATATAACTCTGAATATCAAGATAGGTGTAGAAATAATTTTAGACACAGATTTAATATTTATAAAATCCTATTTGAATACATATTAAAATTTTTATTCACATAGGTAATATTAGGTCTTTTAATTTGATATTCTACAGTTCAGCACTTCCCAGGTTTAAAATGAAGTATTTTGGGTTTTTTTGTTAATGAACACTCATGAGTATTTGAAAGTTACAAGTTGTCTTTAAGAAAGTTTTGAAAATTTATTTTCTGTAGACATAATTATGTTATTATACTCTTTGATTGTAATTAGGTTAAAAAGTATCTGAAAGAAAGTGAATATTGGAGTAAGTTAAATTATCTTTAAAAACAAATGATTACATTTTTTTGTTCTATTCAACATATATTTATCATTATTTTTGTGTAGATGTTGTATTTGATTCTGAAGTACAAGCATAACATGGACACTAGTCTTAACCATAATTATGTGAAGTAGAGAAAGAAAAGGTGATAGTTTAGCCACTCACTAAGTGCTAAAATTAACTTTTAGTTTTTAATCTCTAAAAACATACAGATTTAGATACATTAGCCTAAATCACAAAGTTGTGAGAATTATATTGAAATGTAGAGAAATGCACTTTTGTAAAATTAGTTTTATATAGACCTCAAAAATGGAGTTTGGTGTTACTTAATTTGATTATTAAAACATTATAATTTTATGTAGCTGGGCAACCTCCAGTTATTCATCTTGACACCATAGTTTGACTAATCCTGAAATATGAAGATAAATATAGTAACTATTCTATTGTCAATATATTAGCTAAATATATCAAAATATACCTAGAATTTAAGGATTTGAATATATAGGATATCACCACAAATGAGGGGGGATAACCTCTATTCATTTCACATAGTTCCCTAATTTGATCTGGTCTAACCCTGCTAAGCTTCTCCCTTCTTTCAGAATATTTCTACCTTTTCTATTTGGAAATGAAATTAACAGTGATGATCTGCTTCCTGATGAAGCTGAATATTATTTCATCTATAGGTACATATCAATTAAAAAGTAATAGATGGAAACCTTGCCACTATCCAGGAAATTACTGATGATTATAGGTGTAAATGCTTAAGAAAAAAAGTGTCTTCAGTTATATAGAAATTGCACATTCAGAAAACAAAGAAATATTTGTGCTATGACCACTTACTAGTATTTTCCAGCAACTCAGAAATGCTACACAGACAATGAATGATAACTCACTAAAATATCAGAGCAATTACTTAATTAAAAATTTCTGTGAGCATTTCATAGATTTAAACCTTATGAAGTGTAACCACATGGGGCTCCCAGATTTACCTAGCATGCTATACACCAAACAAACTGAAGAGAAGAACCTTAAACTATTACAATGTGACAAAACAGAAGGTATTTGTGATGCCTCAATTAAAAAGGGCAATTATTAGATGATTCATTTGAACCCAAGGACCTGAAATCCAAGTTTTCTATATCTATGTTTTACCAACACTGCCAGACCTTTTTCTAGAAGTAGAAAAGAACTGCCCTTCCCTTGAGCATAGCTGGTATTAGTGAATCCTCATGAAAAACTAAAGCAGATGTGATGTGTGACTCTAGAAATGAGGTTATAAAACACATGAGTCGTTCTCCTTGTACTCTAAGCCTTATATCACTCACTCTGGGCAAATCCAGATGACATAGGATAAGGACACATAAGTATTCAAAAGAGAAGCTCACACAAGGAACTGAGTGTCCTGTGAGTGAGTCCTGTTGGCAGAAACTCAACAGCCTCGTAAGTCTTTTTGAGAGCAGAAGCTCAAGACCTAGGACTGTTGCCTGAGTCGATGATTTACAGCAACATCAAGAGAAACTCTAAATTAAAACCACCTTGAAAGAGCTGGCCCATAAAAATGATGTTAGACAGTACATGTTTATTGTTTTAAGTTACTAAGTCTTGGGGGTTAATTTCTCACACAACAGTTAGCTAATTCATCTACAGGGACCTAACTTATTTATGAACTAATTACAAATTCAAACATTTGTTAAAAGAGCCAGGCAGTGTGGTTCCTGAATATTAAAGTGAGTAAGATCTAATAAAACCCAATAGCTGCAATATGATGATAAGTTACAAGTGAGTCTTGACACATTTGGAAGTGGCAGGAGTGTGATAAACAGAAGGGATAAAACACCTCTTAGCTGCACCTCTTTTTGCCATAAGGAGTGTTAACCAGTTGTTTCCAGATTGTTTGCTTCTTAAGAAGAGCAAGAACATGCAGATGTTTAAGACCATTATTTTTAAATGTTAACAATTAATCACATTAAAAAATATTACTATCCAAATTTGCATACTGTATAGACTAACTATGAAGGCTAAACTATACAAGCCAGGCAACCTAACAAATAAAATAATTGCCACAACAACAACCATCTGTGTTTTTATTTCATCCCAGAGGACATCAATTATCTGAAACCTCTGGTTTGATCCTTTATACTGGTGATATTGCATTGAGAGAAAAAGGAAGAGTTTAGCCAATATTGTCCATCTGTACATTCAAGGGACTTATTAGAACATAAAAATCACCTGGTAGTTCTAGCCCCTATTATAGAGAAGAAGATGTCACTTTCCTAGAGGAAGGATATATGATTTCCCAACATAGTTTTCACCACATCTTGTATCCTGCCTTAGGTATATGCAGAAAATAGGTGTTAATGGGAAGTCCACATGTTATTTGAGTTCTAAAGTTGGCAAGGAAATTAACTTCTAGGTGACCAGCTTTTACCCTACAGCAATAGATACATTCATTGCCTGGACTTATAAATGCCTTGCATATGCTAGGCACCACAATACATGGTGATGAGAATCCTGAGTTCATCCAGTTTGTAGAGAATCAACAAAGATAGGCAATAAGGTGCACAAATAAATAAAAATAAATAAAATATAGGTAATCGTAGTAGAGAAGATAGAGTCTACAGAAGGATTTTAATGTCCTGAAACCAGAGAGCTAGTTCCTCTCTGCTATGTGAGGCTATAGCAAGAAAGTGCTGATATCTTAGAATTCTATTCTCAAAAACTGTGAACAATGTTTCTGTTGTCTCTGCCACCTATTTGATGGCCTTTCTGTCACATTAGGCCAGACTAAGACAGCTTTGACGCTAAGAGATACAAGTTGTCTAGCCTATAACTTTCAACATTATTTTTTCCTATTTTGAAAATTGACTTGGTGAATTATTTCTTCCTTCTCTCGGATTTAGAAAATATGATAGTTCCTGTTTTAAAATATAAAAACTAGTAGTTATAAAACTATGATTTTTCCTAGATATGTTTTCCTCAGAAGTTAGCAATTCTTCTTAAGTGAATTTGCTTAGAAGTATAATTTTGATTCATGAAGTAATACCTGAAAACATTTCTTAAATAATTTCTAAGTAGTCTGTACTGTAAAATAGTGTATAGTCAGCTGTGCTATGTTTAGTTATTGATTACCTACTTTTCAGATAGCACTTTTTGTTTGCTTCAATTCACCATTCTCATAATTTTTTGCAACTTTCTTGATCATTAATGTCTGCAGGCGATAGACATGAGGTAAGCTCAAATGAATTGAGTTGCCATTCAATCGGGTGCCTTTCTTAGGAGGTTAAAACTATTGATGAAAATTAGGGTTTGTGGATTATTTATGGATTATGTTTAACATACTATTCCTTTTCACTATCAGCATATTTAGTTTGAGAGCAGACTACATATATTGTTTTCACATTGAACACAAAGTGAGAAAAAAAAATCAATCCAGGGAGCTGAGAGAAAATACAAATCTACTGATAGAAATGGGTTTATTAGTACTGGGAGAAAATTAGGATGGACTTGAAATAATAATGTGTTTGATTCTTTTAGGGTGAGGTAGGGAATATCTGGGGAAATGGGCCACAGATTTAAAATATAAGTGAGGATATAGGAATCATTAAGCAAATGTGAAGAAATCTGACTATAAAGAAAATCCTTTGCATTTGTGAGTATGTTGGTCAGTCTTTTATTTAATCATAGTTGATCTTAACACAGTGTATTTAAACATGTCAGGTAGCAATTAGTCAATTTTACTAGGGCTCGAGTTGGATTTTGGAACACTATACAGGGTTTGAGCTTGAATTTATTTTTTTAAAGGCTTATTTATTTAT